GGACCTCGGGATCGGGCGATGGAGGCGACGACGTCGACGGCTTTGGTGCGTCCGTCTTCGCCTAATTCGACGAGGAAGTCAACGGGCTGGCCCTCCGAGAGGGTCCGGAAGCCGTCGGATTGGATCGAGGTCTGGTGGACGAAGAGATCTTCGGTGCCGTCGTCGGGGGCGATGAAGCCGAACCCCTTCTGCGCGCTGAACCACTTGACTGTGCCCGTGGATCTCGCGGTGTCCGCCATGGATGAGAAGGATCTAGAAGCTTCTTTTTTCTGAAGCTTTTATATATTTTTTGTTTTTTGTTTTTTCAGTTATTGCCCGTGGCGGTGACTAACTGCTCTGTTGAGGAGTCTCAGTCTCGAGTGCCCCTCTCTCCTCTGCTGCTTGCTGCTGCTGCTTTTTCATTGTTGGGTGGGAATTAGGGGAAGTTATGTGGGATCCGCGTTGGTTTTCTCGTCCATACGTTGCCTGCCACTTGGCAGACGAAGTAGAGTATTCCTTTGGGTTTTGTCCAATTATCCATTTAGAGTTTTACACGTCAGCTTTGAAGTTTGGAAGAACTAAACAAAGCAAAGAGTTCTTGACCCAAGAAATAAACAAAGCAAGCAAAGAGCCCCACTCTTGACCCCCCAAAAAAAAAAAAAAAAAGCAAAGAGCCCCACTTGCCAAAACTTCATCTTCAACCCCAAAAGCCCAAGTCCAATACAACTGAGCCCAGTAGGTACAGTATGCAACAATGTGTATAAAAAAGAAACTGAACTGTGAATAGGATCTAGCTCAATAGAAAAGGTATTTGATTTGCAAACTAGTGATATTAGATTCGAACTATCATGATACATTGGTAAATGTATTGAAAAACTGACTATCGCTTGTGATTGGGCTTTTCCACCTCCGCCCATGTGGGCAGATGTTCAAAACCCCTGAACACCCCATAAATATTTGTGTAACCCTCTTCCTCAATCGCTTGTACTAAATAAATAAGAGAGGTCAGGGGTTCGATCCCTGCTCTCGTATGGAGTCACCACTTTGGCCAGCACTTTACTCCTTACGGGCCGACCCGGTGTGAACGGGGATTAGTCTGGGTTGTGGTTAAGGCTTAAAGGTGTCATCCATAGTTGGAGCCCATCCAGGACCACCTCGTGGTTCAGACCAAAAAAAATTAAAAATTAAAAGTGCATGGACAACCTTGCCTTAAGGATGCAACTTCAGGTACCAAACCAAAATTAACCCTTAACAACATAGACTTGGAAAAAAAAAAAAAAAAAAAAAAAAAGAGTTGGACGTAAGACATGACAGTTCGACATCGTACAGAATCTCATTCTCCAATCAAATCAGAAACTCTGTCCACATTGCAATGATGACCACTAACATACACATCCAGTTTTAAAAAAATTATTTTCACAAAAGGTGCAGTCTCTTCCAACGATTTTAGGTGAGAAGAAAATTGAATCTATTGCATGGTAAATATGGTAGGTCCTGGGGATCTGCCTTTTTTTGCTTGCTAGAACCTATGGTGATAAGGCTAATTGAGGAAACGTAGGGCACTAAGCACGTGAAACACTACTACACCAATGTTCCACTTGCATGAAAATAGGAAGAGATAAAATGCAACCCTATAAGCCTAAGAATTCTAAACTACAATACTAATTAAAAACTTATTGAAGATATTCTTAAACCAAGTAACCTAACAACTAAAATAATTAAACACGTAACAAAATACTCTTAATCACTTGAACTACAAGATTTTTGCTCTTTGATCCTATTATACTTAAAGAAATGTGTGGCAATTGCTGACATATAACACAATTTTGAACTAGATGTGCCATTAGCAATTTTGGATTTATCAAAATTTCAACATGAACATGAGACTTAGAGTTAGTGTCAAATCCAAGCAACTTGATTTAGACACGACAAACACGTTTCTTGCGTTGTATTATATGAGGAAAATGATGAATCTTTTCTATCTTTAATTGTGTATTATATAAGCAATTGTATGATTATTTTTACGATTTGGTTAGTATCACGACGAAGTTGGTTGTTATTCTATAAGTTAAGTATTAGTGATAAGATATGATGATTTAGAAATAAATGAGACTTAGTGTTAAGGTGTTCGTTTATAATGTACGTCGCAATCCAAATACAACACAATTATTAACGAATTTAGTTAGTGTTAAATTGAGTCTTTCAATGTGATTAATCAAATATGTCAAGTTAGGATTGACTAGTATTCAACACGAATTTAAAATGACACAACATAAACATGACCAATTAACAAAAATTGACATTTTATGTTTTTTCGGTTTGTTTAATACAAGTAATAGTCTAAACTATAAGAGAATGAGAGTTTCTCTTACACACACACTACCAAGGTGACATAGGGTTCAAATTTAAGAACACTGGATGCAAGTCAATACCCTTTTTTACTGGGCTAAATCTCATTGACAATTCCCATCGTATCTTAAATTTTCTAGAAATGAAATATGTTGGCCCAAAAATAAAAGTGAAAAGGAGAAAGTGTGCATAAGATGAAATCAGTAATTTACAATTTTACATACGTTAGGAAATTGTAGAATAAGTCAATAAAATGGTCAACCCAATAATAAAATATGAAAAACGAAAAATAAAATAAAATAATAAAATAAGGAACAAAAATTATATTGGCCTATTGAAAATTCACGTAGCAAAAATCAAAGATGTGAACAGAAGCAGTGCCGTGCCTGAAATCCCAAAAACCCATCTGATCCCAAAGCCTCTCTTCATCCGCTCAACCATTCAAAACCTTCGCTTTCATTCTCTGACTTCCACTTTGAATTCCCACAATCCCTGTTTTTTCTTTTCTCTTTGTTTATATTTGTTTGCCTTTGAACTTCGCCCATTGCCGCCGTCCTCACCTCTCTGTGTTGAAGGCGAAACTCGCAAACCCAATTCACGGTTTTGAATCTGGACACCTTTTGCCGCGTCCACAGAATCACAGGTACCTTCATAAACCTTCCCTTTTTCTCTTTCTCTTACAAGTTCTCTGATTTTGCCATTTTCTTTAACTTTCTATTTTCAGCTTGTATGTATTTTACTTCAACACGTTTCTCATGCACTTTAAAGTTGTGTTGGAGGAATCTGGCATTGTTTGATAAATCTAGGAGCCGAAAAGTTTCACTTTTAAAAACTAGTTTGTGCTTAATTAAATAGTTCACAACCAGTCAAAATGAAATTGTTTTGCTTTTTCGATATTTTATGTTTTGGGTTCTTTAGTGGAGGACACGTCTTTAAAGATACAGCTTTTGGAGCTCTTTATCGACTGATTTTGGTTTGATGTTCTAAACCAACTTTATACTGGGTCCCTACTCATTCAAATTGTTACCCAATAGTGTAAAGCAACAAACTTGATTTGTTTTCTGTATTGAAATCAATTGAATTCTGGAGCACAAAATGTTGATTTCATGCTTAGAAATTAGGTGAATGAAATTTGGTTTCAATATTGGTTACTGGTCAGAACAATTATTGGGTGCTGGGTTTTGTTCTGTTTGGACATCTTCAGAGTCTGTGGGTCCCGGTCAGGCTTCTGAAGAACATTTTGTGATTTGTTTGGTACCGAATTTTACTTTATGATTTCATTAGTTGGTAGCTCTTGCATTGGCTGTTTGTGGGTGTTGACGAAAAAGTTGAGAAAATTATTGTACAAACAAGATTCTGTAGTGTAACTGTGCTGCTCCAGTACTTATAGATAGTTTTCATCTGTACCCTTCTACATCAATAGGCTTATAACTTGAGGCCCTCTTTGACGTGTATGCAAAAAATGATTTAACCTTTGACCTATAGGCTTCTGTAACTGTACTGCTCAGTGCTAGAGGTCTCTGTAACTTGTGCATAAGAAAAATTCAGTCCAGTTGTTTAAAAATAATAATAATTCTGTGACATCATTCCTTCATTCTACAATCTTGATATGCAAAGTAATTAATATTATCTGAATGAATCTGTTTAGGTCCAGAGGTTGTATTATTGTCGAATTCTGTGGACATCTTGAAGAATTGTTTTTGTCTCTTTCTTTCACTCATGTCATGGCTGCCTGAGCTTATGTGTGAGGTGCTGTCAATGAATTTCATATGTACTTTTTTTTTTCCCGAAGATTTGACGTTTTCTTATAAGAGCTGAAGGAAATGGCATCATTTGATCTTATACAAATGTTTGATTGTCTTTGAAAAATAGAGTGGTTGGCATTCGCTTGCAAAGTACAAATTATGGCACTTCAACATTAGTAGCAGCAGTAATTGCATCATTTTCTATCCTACGTTTGTTCCTCTGTTCTTTAGCTTTTCTGAATCAACATTCTGATTTTATTGCTGTTTTCTGAAGTCGCCCCAAGAGGAATAAAGTGCAACGGTTATGGAGGGAGGATACCGTGGGACTAATGACTCTGAACTCAGACGAAGTGTATCAAATGATCGAACAAGCAGTGCCACTTCTTCTTTAAGGAGGCGTTCTTTAAGTTTATCAGGTGCTCAGCCTTCCCAAATAGATGATGACATTGAAAGTGAGCGTGTTTCAGAGGCGGGAGATATAGGGGATCGGGCTCTTCACAGCAACAGGCACAGTGAGAGTGGCAGCATCCGCTTGTTGCCTTCAGATGATATTCAACTGCAATCCTATGGGTTCTGGTGTCGTGATCTGGTTACATCCACTGCAATATCCCCTGTCTCACCTTTGCCAGAGGAAATCATTTCTCCTCTTTCCACTGATGCAGTCGTATGCCATGAGGACAAAAATCAAGTGAGCTTTTGGTTTGCATCTTCATTGATATTTCTTTTTAATTTTTAGTCGGATCATGCTAGTAACTTAGATTATTGTGTTTTTATATGCAGGAAACTACAACAAAGTTGCCAAAATTGTTGGAGTATGGTTCATGTATGACTCATTTAGCCGTTTTTGGCATTCTTGGGGTAACAGATTTAACTATGTTTCGTATATATACCAGAGTGCATTTTCTTTGAATCCTAATATCTATTGAGTTTATAGCTGCTATTACCTCTGTTTGACAAAAGTTGGATCTTAAGATCCTTGTGCAAGAATGCACTGACCACATCCATTCTGGTCTTTATAATTCAGATAACTAGATCTTATCATGCTGTACAAACTTTTTTCTTGCTAAAAATAGTTTTTGGAAGAAAATCTGTGTCTAAATGGATTTGCTCATACTGATCAAATTCTATCCGGTGTATCTTTATTATATTGTTAAACTGTAATTTAAAACATTAACAATTTTGATCATGCTTTGGCAGGTTGGAATTTCTGTTTCTCTTGGCAAGAATGAATATGTCATTGAAAGCAATTTGTTAGATATTAATTTATTAATTTCATATATGGGAACCTACCTATCAAATAGATTATTTGACATGCTACAGTCTGCAGGTGTTAACGAGATATCTGCTGCAAAAGTTGTTTGGCCCTGGAGTTGTTGGTGTAACAAGCAACCAAACCATTCTCTACCTCGACCTTCCTTCTAATATGGTTTCTCTCTCTCTCTCTCTCTCTCTCTCTCTCTCACACACACACACACACACACACACGCACAACCCTTTATCTGGGAATATTTTGTTGATAAACATTTATGCCTTATATACTTGGTTGATTGTGAGTATTGAGGGACTTATTTGCACATTGTATGACGATTACTGAAGTTTTTTCCCTTCATCTTGTCATTTTTTATGTCATATTTCTTAGGATAGTGATATGGATAATGTTCGATGATGTTCTAATGCAATTTATTTTCCTAAACATTTTTGAAGGTTGGTTCTTTCTTGATGGGGTGGTTTGGTGTTGTTTTCAAAGGAGATATTTCATATGTGTCAGATCATTTGGCCATTGGATTAACAACTGGTTACTTGGGAAGCCTTACAACTTTCAGTGGGTGGAACCAGAAAATGCTCGAACTCAGTGTTGAAGGCCATTGGGTTTTTGTTCTGCTGGGTTTCTTAATAGGTAAGATGTCGTATGAAGAATATGCTGTAGTAGACATGTAGATGGCTATGGCAAGCAGCGTTTCGAATTTCATTTCTACGGGTGGTTTCCTGCTTTGAGCCTATTTGTAACTCATCCATGGACAAACCCATCTAGCTCAAACGGCTGCGACTAATACAAGCTTTTCTTTAATGTGATTGATTTCAGGTCTGTTTCTTGCGGCCTACTCCATCATTGTTGGGGTAGAGACAGCTAAGGGTTTTAGGCAGCTTCTTGAAAGGAGTTCAGGATGTGGTATAACTAGCTCTGGCATGAGCTGGAGGGTTGACAGTCACAAGCGTCACTTGGTAGTTTTAGCTGTGTTTTCGCTGATGCTAATTTCTCTATGGAGTGTAAGTGGAGTATTGCTAAGGGAGGAGTTTAGCAGTGACAGCAGTGAGGCGCAACTATGGTTGGCTTGCATAGTTGGACCTCTAGGTGTCTGGATCAGGTGGTTCTTAGCCAGGCTTAATGGACGTGGATTAGGCAGGATGGGGTTGTTGAAATGGTTTCCATTTGGTACTCTAATAGCTAATGTTTCTGCAGCTTGTGTCATGGCAGCTCTGTCTACTGTGAAGAAAGAGGTAAGGTCTCGTGATATGATATCTGTCCAGATCCACTTCGTGACTTCATCCTCACCTTTACCTTTTGTGTGTCATTCTATCATATTCAGAAAGCTTACACTAAACATATATTTGTCACATTATAAACTGCTAAGTTTGTTATGTTTTTTTGTGTGCTTTCGTCAATGATTTGTAGCCTCTTAGCAGAATCCCTGAAGTTCACTCTCTTCTGTGACAAAATTTTGTGTTACCTTCGCCAAGTACACAACTGAGGTTCACTGAGATCTGCGATTTGCCCCTAAGTTCACCATAGAGCCTGATCATGTGGATTTATTTTACAGTGTTTGGCAGAAAAGTCCAAGTCCCCTCCAAACCATGTGGATTTTAACGTTGCTCATTTATCTACTCTTTTTTCATATCTTTCCACTCCCAATTGCTCTTGTGCTCCATTGGATTGATCCATGCCAATTAGATTTGTCGGTACTGCATCGTATTTCATGGCAAAGCTGACGAGTGGGACTTATTCTGTTTGTGCAGGTGGATACTAAGACGTGTGATATTGTTGCAACAGGCATACAATTTGGATTGCTGGGCTGCCTGAGTACCGTTTCTACCTTCATTGCTGAGTTCAATGCAATGAGAGAAAGCAAATACCCCTGGAGAGCATACACATATGCCATGGTTACGATATGTACCTCGTTTGGTTTGGGGACCCTGATATATTCTGTACCTGTTTGGACAAAGGGATACAAGTAGCATGCTCGGGACAGCCTTTTGATGATTCTTCTTCTGCAATGCAACCTTCATTGCTGAGTTCAATGCAATGAGAGAAAGCAAATACCCCTGGAGAGCATACACATATTCCATGGTTACGATATGTACCTCGTTTGGTTTGGGGACCCTGATATATTCTGTACCTGTTTGGACAAAGGGATACAAGTAGCATGCTCGGGACAGCCTTACGATATGTTATCCTACTTGGATCCAATTTTATAAACTCAAAAACAGATTTAGTCCAAAAACTTGTTTCGTAGGTCCATTTTTAAAAACCTAAACCCAATAAAATTTCAAAAACACCCATATTATTAAAAACTAAAAAAGTGAGGTTTTACAATTTTTTTTCTCTCTCATCACTCTATGTTGCTCTCTCTTTCTCTCTCTCTCTCTCTCTCTCTCTCTCTCTCTCTCTCCCCTCCTCCTCCTTCTCTGTTGCGCTCTCTCTCTCCTCCCTCTGTTGTCTATCTCTCACTCTCTCTTGCGCACCACCAAAATTGATAGGGTTTATGCCTGACATCTTTTTCCTTTTCTTTTGTTAATTTCAATTTGGAGCTTAGGGTTTCTGATTTTTTTATTTTAATTTCATTTTTTTTAGATCTTAAAAGTAGTTTGGAGTTCAATACTAAACAAGTTTTTAGATCTTAAAATCACTATTTGAAGACTCATGTTTTTAAAAAGAATTATAATTTTTCAGTTTACGTTTTTAGTAGGATACTAAAGGCCTTAGATTTACACCTCTAATTAATCTGTATATCTTTTAAATGGTAGAAAGAGATTTTGCTAAATAATAAAGAATTAGAAGATGAAGATTGAAAAAGTGTCCTTGTGTAGTTGTGGACCAATCCATGCAAAATCAAGAAGAAGAAAAAGAAGTTACCAAAGAAACGAAAAAAAAAGAAAAAGAAAAAAGAAGGGAGGTATGTGGATTTACTCAGGGCCTTTGAGGGGAGGCTTAATTGCAGTTAACTAATTGTGCTCATGTAAACATCATGTGTAAGGGTTAAAAGGACCCTTTCAAGACGTTAAATAGGAATCGACTTTAAAAGCCCTCTCTCTGTCCCCACACGCTACACGTGATGCACACAGGAGCACAATTTGTATTTTTTTTTTTGGTCAATGAGCACAATTTGTATAGGTAGAGAAATTTCCATGGGGATGTCAGGGTACGTAATTCACCTAAAAGAAGAAAGAATGCTTTTTCTATATCATTATTCATTCCGTCTCAAAAACAAGGTATATATATACAACCCTATACAACCCTACCGAGTAAAGGAAAGAATAATTACATCCTAACTAGGAAACCAAATATGGTAGGAATCCCACAATTGTAGGAATCCTAATACAAGTCAACACTCCCCCTCAAGTTGGTGCATAGATGTTGCACATGCCCAACTTGTCTAGAAACCTGGAGAACTTGGCACTCGAAACCGCTTTAGTGAGAATATCTGCTACTTGGTCATCCGTTCCTATGGGAGGAACCTCAATTACTTTGCTATCTAGCTTCTCCTTAATAAAGAACCTGTCAACCTCTACATGCTTGGTCCTATCATGTTGCACTGGATTATGAGCAATATCACGAGCAGCTTTATTGTCACAGAATAACTTCATCGGCTGACCACAGTTGACCCCCACATCTTGTAATAGAAACTTAAGCCACAAGAGCTCACAGATACCGAGTGCCATGCCTCTAAATTCGGCTTCTGCGCTTGATCTTGATACAACATTCTGCTTCTTACTTCTCCACGTTACTAGATTTCCCCCAACAAAGGTAAAATACCCGGATGTCGAGCGCCTATCATCCGTTGATCCGGCCCAGTCAGCATCTGTATAGCACTCAATTCTGAAATGCCCATTTTTTCGAAATAAAATTCCTTTACCAGGGCTTCCTTTCAAGTAACTCAATATTCTCATAACTGCACTCATGTGTTGTTCTCCCGGATTGTGCATATATTGACTAATTACACTTAAGGCATGAGCAAGATCCGGCCTAGTGTGAGCCAAGTACATCAATCTTCCCACTAACCTTTGATACCTCCCTTTATCAATCGATCCTTGGTTCTGATCAATACCCAACTTCATTCCTTCGGCCAACGGAGTAGACACCGGTTTGCACGCTGTCATGCCAGTTTCTTTCAACAGGTCAAGAACATACTTTCTTTGTGATAGAAATATCCCAGACTTGCATCTCGACACCTCAATCCCAAGAAAATATTTCAAAGAACCAAGATCTTTCATTTCAAATTCTGTGGACAAATATTTTTTCAAGGCTGCTTGCTCAACAGGATCGTTACCAGTAACCACCATATCATCCACATATATGATGAGAGCTGTAACCTTTCCATTCTTGCGTTTCAAGAATAACGTGTGATCCCAATTACTTTGCCTATACCCGAATGCTCTCATGGATTTGGTAAATCTACCAAACCAGGCTCTTGGAGATTGCTTCAATCCATACAATGATTTCTTGAGCCTACATACCTTTTGTTTCCGTATGTCCGGATCACTCCACCCTGGTGGAAGGTCCATGTAAATCTCCTCAGTTAGATCTCCATGGAGGAATGCATTTTTCACATCGAACTGTTGCAAAGGCCAATCTAGATTTGCTGCTAAGGACAGTAGAACACGAACTGTATTAATCTTTGCCACTGGTGCAAACGTATCAGTGTAGTCGATGCCATATTTTTGTGTATACCCCTTGGCCACCAATCTTGCCTTAAAGCGATCAATTGCTCCATCTGCTTTGTATTTCACTGTATAAACCCATTTGCATCCCACAGACTTCTTTCCGGCTGGCAAGTCGGTTATTTCCCAGGTAGCATTCTTCTTCAACGATTTTAATTCTTCGTTCATTGCATCTTTCCAACGGGAATCTGCTAAGGCCTCCTGCACACTGTTAGGAATAGATACAGTAGATAATTGATATACAAATGACTTATTTGATTCTGACAGGTGACAGGTAGACACATAATTGTTTAATGGGTATCTCACTTTTGAATCGGAATTTGGCTCACTCAAGGAATACTTGTGTTTACACTTAAGATCTGCCTCGTAAGTGGGTTTGGGAATCCCTCGATTAATACGCTCTGGAAGACGACGGAGTGGAGTTGCATCCGGTGTAGAAGACGATTGGTTATGAGAATTAACATAAGACGAGTTTATACTTGGATCTGATATAACATCGGAAGGAGAATCCCGTGGCAATTGCTGTAGTTTCTGCTCGGTTCCATTGCAAATAGTGGGCTGCAGCTCATCATCAAGTCCAAACCCCGTGGGACCCGTGGGATGCTCTTCCTCCTGCAATGTTTGCTGCTCCTCAGGGACCTGCTCAGTGGGCTGATGACCAAAGCACACAAGCTGCTGCCCGTTGCCAGATGCTGTGAGCTGATCACCATAACACGTGGACTGCTGCCCTTCTCTAGGTGCTGTGTACTCCAAACGTGATGACTGCAATGGTTGCTCTTCATGCAGCTCATTTCTAGCCACAGGAGAATAATCAAATGTCAAAACTTCAGTATTATCTCGGGTCAGAACTTCACTACTTCGGTGCTCCCCCTGAAGTGAGGACGTGGAGGATCCAAAAAACATTTCATTCTCATGGAAAATCACATCCTGAGTAATAAACATTTTTTTACTCGAAGGATGATAACAACGATATCCTTTCTGGGTAGTAGCATAACCCAAAAAAACACAACGAATGGCTCGAGGCTCAAGTTTATTATGCCGTTGATGGGGATGGAGGTGAACAAAAGCAACACACCCCAAGATCCGTGGAGGAAGATTGGGAGTCGGTGGACTACTAATCTGAGATGTGAGAGCCTGAAATGGTGTATGGAAGTTGATAGTACGAGAAGGAAGACGATTAATAAGATAGGCTGCGGACGTAAGCGCCTCTCCCCAATAATGTAGAGGCAGATGTGCCTCAATGAGTGAAGCACGAACCATTTCTAACAGGTGTCTATTTTTGCGTTCAGCAACCCCATTTTGTTGAGGAGTATACGGGCACGTGGTCTGATGAACAATACCATGCAGTTCCAGGAAGGAACGAAGTTCCAAATTAACATATTCACCACCATTGTCACTTCTAAGAACCTGGATATTCCTGTTGTATTGCACAGCAACCATTTTATGGAACCTTTGAAAGGCCGAACTAACTTCGCTTTTCGATTTTAACAAAATAACCCAAGTCATTCTGGTGCAATCGTCAATAAAAGTAACAAACCAGTGAGCACCACCAAGAGTAGCTATTTTCGACGGTCCCCATACATCAGAATGCACAATCATAAAAGGAATGATACTTTTATTGAAACTGGGAGGAAAGGAGGTTCGATGGCTCTTAGCCATGTCACAAACATCACACTTAATTTGAGAAACATCAGTCTTGAAAAACAAACTAGGAAATAATTTATGTAGATAACTAAAGGAAGCATGCCCAAGGCGCCTGTGCCACGTCCAGATGTCCGACACTTTATTAGTATCCCCTTGAGAATCATCAACAGAGAGAGCTTGAGTCAGCAAGCTAGAACTACTGGTGGTCAATTCCAAGTAATAAAGTTTTCCTCTTCTAATACCATAACCAATCGTCTTCCGCGTCCGGATGTCCTTAAAAACACAAAAATAGGGCCAAAAAATAACCAAACACTTTAAGGCAAGGGTTATTTGAGCAACAGACAACAAATTATAATTTAAAGAGGGAACCACAAGAACAGTGTCAAGTTTCATGGTATCGGAAAGGGAAACAGTGCCTTCCCCAATAACAGGGACGGCATTACCATTAGCAACATTGACCTCGGTTTGGGTTGATGTTTTTAGTGATGGAACCTGTCTAGAATCGCAAGTCATATGTTTAGTAGCTCCGGAATCAATTATCCATGTATTATTCATAACAGAAGTAGAGGTACTTAGTGCCTTACCATCACTACCTGCCGCAGCAATCATGGCAGATGCCTTGTCCGCTATTTGGTCTGAATCATTCTTGGTTTCTGCAACGGAGGCTCGAGACTTGTTGCACCGAGGATCACGGGTCCTATCCCAATTCTCGGGATATCCAATCAGCTCAAAACAGCGACTCTTGGAGTGTCCTGGCATGCCACAGTGTGGGCACTTACCTTGGGGACGATCCCGGCTTGGCTGGCTAGGCCGAGTTTGGCGTGGCCGGTTTTGTGACCCTTCTCGGTTAGGCCCATAAGATGATCCACGGGCCTTTGCTGCCATTGCAGCGGGTTCACTTTTGTCCACCTCCGTCTTCATTGCTTCCTTCCGATCGGCTTCACGACGAACATACGCATAAGAAGCCTGAA